TTGTTCTTCTATTAGTCCATGGTACTCTTAATATTCTTCTCCAGCATCATAATTAAAATGCATCAATTCTTCTATGGTCTTCCTTTATCATCATTCAACTTTCACATGCATATGAAGCTACTGAATATACCCAGGGACACCTTAGTCCTCAAACTGACATCTTTGCTTTTCAACACTTTAAAGAGATCTTGTGCAGCAGATTTGCCTAATTTGATTTCTTGACTGCTGCTCCCAGCAGAGTTTATAGTGGATCCAAGCAAAAACAAGTCTTTGCCAACTTCAGTCTTTTCTCCCTTTATCATGATGCTATTTATTGGTCCAGTTGTGAGGATTTTTGTTTTTGTGCTCTTTGATCTGCATCAATAAATATTTTAAGTCCTCTTTGCTTTCAGCAAGCAAAGTTGCACCATCTGCGTATTGCAGATTGTTAATGAGTCTTCCTCCAATCCTGTTGCCACATTCTTCTTTATATAAGCCATCTTCCTGGATTATTTACTCAGCACACAGATTGAATAAGTACAGTGAACAACTACAACCCTGGTGCTCACCTTTCCTGATTTTAAACACCCAGTGTCCCCTTGATCTGTTTGAGCCAATCCCTCTTGGTCTATGTACAGATTCCTCATGAACACAATGAAGTGTTCTGGAATACTCACTCTCCACATTGTTGTCCATAGATTGTCATGATCCACACTGTGGAAAGTCTTTTCATAGTCAATAAAGCACAAGTTAACATCTTTTTGTTATTCTCTGCAATCAATCAGTATCCACCTGGTGTCAGCAGTGATATTCCTAGTTCCACATTCTCTTCTGAATCCAGCTTGAACATCTGGAAGTTCTCTGTCAATGTACTGTTAAGGCCATTTTTAAATTATCTTTAGCAAAACATACTTGCATGTGGTATTAATGATTTCCATATTCTTTTGGGTCAGCTCTCTTTGGATGTACACAAATATGGATCCTTTCCAATCAGTTGGCCAGGGAGCTGGCCTCCAAATTTCTTGGCATTGATAAGTGAGTGCCTGAAGTGCTGCATCAGTTTGTAAGATTTCAATTTCAATGCCCAGAGCCTTGTTCTCTGCCAGTGCCTTGGACTTCCTCCTTTAGTATCATTGACTCTTATCATATGCTACCTCTGGAAATGGTAGAACACCCATTTCTTTTTGCTATAGTGACTCTGTGTATACCTTATATCTTCTTTTGATGCTCATTGCTTCATTCAATATTTTGTCCATGTTGTTGTAAGTGCCATCAAGTCAGTTCCAACCCATAACGGCCTGTATAGGGTTTCCAAGGAGTGACTGGTGAGCTTGAACTGTCAGTCTTGTGGTTACAAACTGACTTTGCAGTCTAGTGCATTAACCCACAGCGCCACACCAGAACTCCCAGAGAATCCTTCAATATTTCAGGGTGTGGCTTGAATTTTTTCTTCAGTTCTTTCAGCTTGAGAAATTCTGAGCGTGTTCTTCCCTTTGGTGTTCTAACTCCAGGTCTTTGCACATTTCATTATAATATTTGACTTTGTCTTCTTGAGCTGCCTTTTGAAATTTTCTTTTCAGCTTTTTTACTTCCTCATTTCTTCCAGTCTCTATAGCCTCTCTATGCTCTAGAGCAAGCTTCAGAGTCTCTTCTGACATTCATTTTGATTTTTTCTTTGTGTCCTGCCTTTTAAATTACCTTTTGCTTTCTCTGGGTATGTCTGTTTTGTTTTTTTTTTTCTTTTTAAGATTTTATTATGAATTAAGTGATAGTTTCCATTGTGGAAAATCAGTTTTGCACTCGACCAATTGTATTTTGTTTCACTGCAGTGATTACAAGCCCCTTCATGCACCAATGGTTAACAGTATTTGCCTCTATTCACCACCACCTCCTTTTTTTGATGTACACAAAAAAACCCAGAAATATATAATTGCTTAAACAACCAAAGGGCACATTTTGCAAGTCAGCCTCCTGGCTGCCAGCAAACAGCCTTTCTATTTCCAAGAGTCTAGAGTCCTCAGCTGCTCTCTTTCTCCATGCCATCACCTCTACTTCCGGCTCTGTTTTTTATGTCATTCCACAACTCTTTGGTCTTTAGTCATTGGTGTCTAATGCATCAGTATATTCTTGAGACACTCTCTAAATTCCGGTGGAATACATTCAAGGTCATGTTTTGGCTTTTGTGGACTTGTTTTAATTTTCATCAGTTTCAGTCAGAATTTGCATATGAGCAATTGATGGTCTGTTCCACAGTCAGCCCCTACCTTGTTTGGGCTTGAAATTAAGATCAAGAAAAAAAGCAATAGCTTATTTTTTTTTTTAAAGGTTTTTATTGTGGATGGAGTGAAAATTTACAGGGCAGATTATCAGTTTTACATTCAACAAATCATATACCTTGTTTCATTACAATGATTATATTCCCCTTCAAGTATCATCAGTTAATAGTATTTCTCTATATTCACTTAAGCTTTTTTTTTTTTATTAAACACTTAGGCATAGATAATAATTTGTACCACCAAAGGGCACATTCTGCAAGTCTGCCTCCTGGCCGCCATCTCTTCAGCTGCACCCTCTCTCCAAGTCCCCATTTCTGGTGTCGCTGCTTCTCTGGATAAGGTCTCGCATTCCGCTTGTGCTCTTCTCCCTTGATGACCCTAGGGTCCTTTGTATCTGGACTGTAAGATTAACTACTCCCCCGTTTTTGATACAAAACTTTTACCTTTACAGTTGTGACAGTCGCAATTAGTCATGATAACAATTGCTCACTTTTGAATCATAAGAATCTTATCTCCATCCCTTTTAACCAGACCCATTTATAAAAGATGAAAACAATTCAGTGGGGACTCTTTACTCCCCCTTGAAACCTTGTAAGCCAGTCACTTTGTCTCTTTATAGCCCCCTTATTTTAGGAAGTCAATATCTAAGTTGCCCATCCCTAGCTACCCTGTGTTCAGAGGGGATAGCATTGACACTTGATGTGAAGACTCCTTCCCTCTCTGTTGGTATTTAGAGTAACTACCTTCATGAGTATAGGTCAAGTTCATCAAATTGTAGCAATTTATCCTCATTTCCTTTATGATAATTTTTTTTTTTTTTTTTAATCTTCCTCTAGTCAAGCTCTGATTATCAAGCCATCAAGGCTAGGTCAAATGGGTACTATCTGCAAGTTTGGGTGTTCTCGTCCTTCTCCCCTCACTTCATATCAGCTGGATGCTTCACTCTCAGCTCTAGCCCTCTGTGGCTATGTCCTTGTCCATAGGCTCAGGTATCCCCAGGTTTCACCCCACTTTGGACCAACCAGCCCTTCCTCTTCACTTTCTCATCTCCAGGTCAACAGGAGTCTATAGAACATAGTTGAACTCAGTTCATTTCTTCATTGCTGCCTTTCCCCCTCTTCCACTCACCAGTAAGTCATCAGCAAGCTTACATGCCTGCTCATGTGTTCCCTCTGAGTTTCAGTCTTAGAGGGGAGAAATAATTACATTTTTACAGAGATTGATGTTTAAACTAAGAAAATAAAGACTGTAAAGGTCAACTAGCCAAACTGATTACTTGCGTCTAACCAAGTTTATCTAGTCATATATTTTATACCTTTGGGATAATTATTTATTTTCCTAGAATACCCCCAGTTCCTTCTTCACTCCTCCCTACCTGCTAACATCACATTTCAATCTGAGGACAGACATAATCTACCTCTGGGAAGCATTTCCACAGTCTCCTCCAAGTGAACCACATTTGTACACCTTCCTCCATGCTCTAATTTCTAGGCCCTATAGGAGTCCTCTGGTAGCATAGTGGTTACCGGCTGTGAGCCACAAGGTCAGCAGTTCGAAACTACCAGCTGTTCCGCGGGAGAAAGATGAGGCTTTCTGCTCCCGTAAAGATTTACAGCCTCGGAAACCCTGTACAGGGTCACTATGAGTCGGAATCGACTCCACGGCACATAGCAACAACATGAGTCCTGGTGTGGCACTGTGGGTTAATGCGCCAGACTGCAAAGCCATTCGAACTGCAATGCAAGGTCATTGGTTCAAGCTCACCAACTGCTCCTTAGAAACCCTATGTAGGGTCGCTATGGGTTGGAACCAACTCGACAGCTACAACAATATTGTAAAAGTTTGTGTACCTTCTTCAGCACTAGACGGAGAGACCTTGAGGGTAAATATTGTGTAGGAGGAGGCAGGGGGAGATCTAGACAACTCTCACAAAGAACTATTGGATGGTCAACGGAGATCCAGAAACCACAGAAAAGTTACACGTGTCCGTATGTCGAGAAAGCTTGATGAATATAAGATGAAATTCATTGAGTTAATTGAACAGCAACATCTAAATACACGATAGGTAGCCCTGTGGTTATCTCATGAAAGACGCCTTGAAAACGGACCTTTACGTAATTATTTGTATTTTACTTTAGCCAAATGATCACAAACGGTCGAAATTTTATCACATGAACATGAATGAGTCTGATATGTGATTTGGGCAGATTACGTAGTCTCTGATTCTATTTCTTCGTTTGTTAAAATGAAACAATACACGTGTCCCGGCCCCGCTGTTCGTTGCTGTGACGACCAAACGCGACAATGTACTTGAATATATTTTATGAGACCGGTAGTAACAAATCAAATACTTTTATTACTATTACTGATATTATCCCACAACCGTACCCTCCATCTTCCAGTCTCTCTAATCCAGAATGAATTCAGCACATCAGCGCAGTGGGTTAAATCGGAGGGTTAAATCGCAGGGCTGCTAACCGCAAGGTCGGCTACTCAAAACGATCAGCTGCTCCGTCTGTTCTCGTAACGATTTACAGGAGCGTTCTACTTTGTTCTATAGGGTTAGAATCCATTCATGCGTCTTTCCGCAATTTCCAGCGGGTAGGCGCAGCCACTCCAGCGCGATGCAATGACGCTAAAAAGCACGCGCCTTGGAAGCGGGCCGTGCAGGATCTGCGCAGGAGCAGCGCGGCCGCGGTAGGCGGAGCCAGCCGGAATGAGTGGCTGAGGGACGGAGACCCGGGGATGAGTGGCGGAGGGACGGAGACCCCAGTGGCTTGTGAGGCCGCCCCGGGTGGCGGCGTCAAGAAGAGGGACTCCTTGGGGACCGCAGGCTCGCCAGCGCACCTCATTATTAAGGGTACGGAGTGACAGTACTCTCGGCTCTGGCAGATCCCGGCTTAGCCCTTCCTTGCAGGCAGCGCCCTCTGTCCCTGGCCGACCCCCAGCTCCTGGCGCGCGGGTGGATGTGGGGTGGAGGAGTCTGGGCCTCTCCAGCCATATCTAATGCTTCCCCGGAACAACCTGCCACCCAAGACTCCTCTTGTTTCCTCTTTTCCCCCTGCTGCAGGAGTGAGCTGATGGGTGGGCCCTGAGCCCTGGGCTTTGAACGAGGCTTCCCGACCCTTCCGTAAAGCAAAGGGCATGGAACTGCGGGATCAGGAACGGTTTGTGCCTGTACACAGCCCTTAGAAGTTATATGGCTTCGGGTCATTCTCATCACGTATTCTCAGAACCTAAATTGTTGAGTGCCGTGGAGTTGATTCCAACCCATAGCGACCCTGTATAGGGTTTCCGAGGAGCGGCTGGTGAGCTTGAACCGCCGACCTTGTTTTTCATTCCTACCTTGCATTCCACTACGTTACCCCACAATACCACACGGAACCTGAACACGTCTCTAAAAAGGGAGAATCCTGGGAGGAATACTCGAGGTAACATACATGAAAGTGCCTTCAGACACCTTAAAGTACTTATACAGCCCTTGTGCACGGTCTGCTTAGAGTTGCTGGAAGGGAAGTGGTTGTATCTAAATTCTCACGAACTCGAAATCAGTTTGATTCTCTATCTCCCCTACAACCCTGCTTCCCTCCTGAAGATTTTTCCCCAGCTAATAATAGCACTTTCTCATCTCCATACCCCGCTGTCTTTTAATAGTCTAGCCGTTCTGGGTCGCTATGAGCCTGAATCACCTTAATGGTAGTAGGTGATAGTTGAGTGGATAGGATGCCAGAGAACCCTGGTGACTTAGTGGGCTAAGCATCAGGATGCTAAGTGCAAGGTCAGCGGTTCAAGCCCACCAGAGAAAGATGAGGTCGTCTACTTAGGGAAAGATTTACAGTCTCGGAAAACCTGAGGAGTTCTGTTCTGCCCTGTAGGGTAGCTATGAGTTGCAATCTACTCCAAAGCAGTGAGCTTTCTGTTGTTTTTTTTTTTTTTTTCTAACTAGAACTCCAGAATCCTAGAGCACTAGACTGGGAATAGCTTCCTGTGGTTCTGCTGTTTCATTTTGACCTTACCTGCCTGTTTTGTGGAGTGTCCTGGTGTGGCGCTGTGGGTTAATGCGCTAGACTGCAAAGTCGGTTTGAAATGCAAGGTCGGCTGTTCAAGCTCACAGCCGCTCCTCCAAAACCCTATACAGGGTCGCTATGGGTCGGAACCGGCTCAGCGGCACTTAACAACAACAACGATCTGTTTTGTAGGCATAGCTAGTTATAGCTGTAGCTTTATATTCCAAGTTGTCTCTGAAATATAATTAGCACTGTGACAATGCGCGTAAGTGGTAGAGCTAATTTAAAATTGTTTATATAGGCATTCAGCTGCTTTGGTGAGGTTTGTTTTTTTTAAAGCTCACTCCAGAGAAGTTTTTCAAGTTAGTCTAAAATTGAGTTACGTTTGAAAATAATGTCTAGAACATCCCTGAGTCCTTTTTGTGATCACTTTTTTTATTCTAAAAAATCTGTTTTTAGTCCACCACCATATTTTAAGAATGCACATTATAAGCACAGATTAGTTCGGTTTTTTTGTTTTTGTTTTTGTTTTTTTTATTGTGGCTTATATATATGAGAAGTCCTGGGGTGTGTGGGATAAAACACTGGACTGCAAGGTTGGTGTGAACAAGGTTGGCAGTTCAAACTCACCAGCTGCTCTTTAGAAACTTGATACAGGGTTGCTATGAGTCAGAACCAACTTGATGGCATTTAACAACAACAAAGTAAAACAAAAATGCTACTAGAAAATCATAGAAATATCAAAATGTAAAGCTATTGTTTCTCAACATATCCTCCATCTAGGTTCTCTGTGGGAGCTTGGTGGCTCTGTATAAGCATTGGACTGTGAATCACAAGATCTGTGGTTTAAGCTTGCCAGCCGCTCTGTGGGAGAAAGATGAGACTTTCTGTTCCCACAAAGGTTTAAAACTTCAGAAACCCTATACAGGGTTGTCATGAGATGGAACCCAATTGAAGGCACTTAATAACAACGACAGGTCTATGTATACACTTCTGAAAGCCGTGCTCTGTAACGCTTTCCTGAAGAATTCTGTGCTCTTTGATTCACACCACAGCAAAACGCCAGTGTGGATGCACTAGAGGGACTCCAGTTGTGTTCTTTTGAAATGCTTTTTGAGTTTGAGGGACCAAAAGAAGTCTGACAGGGCAAGATCAGGGCCTGTCAGGTGTATGGGGCAAGTTTCCCCAAAGAAATTCTTGAAGGACAGTCCTTGATATTCAAAGAATGTGATGGAAAAAAAAGCAATCTCTTGGAGAAACTTTGCTGATCCTTTTTCTCACCAATAACTTCTTCCTAATAAGGCCCAGTGATTGTCGTGTGTCCTTTGGGGAAATCTATCAAGACTACCCTTTTGGAGTCCCCCCAGTCACCATAACCTCCTTAGCTGACCTCTCTGCTTTGAATGTAACTGGCCCAGCAGATCACCTTGGAAGCCACTGTTTTGATTGACCCTTTATTTGAATGCCATAAGGCACCCTGGTGTGGCACTGTAGAATAAGCACTAGATTGAACTGAAAAGCTGGTGGTTCAAACTCGCCAGCCACCCCTCAGGATCACTGTGAGTCGGAATCGACTTGACGATACTTAACAACAGCAAAATGGGACTAAGATAAGTATATTATTGAGTGAACTTGGCAACAACACACTGTCACAGAGAAAAGTTCAGACTATTGTGTGAAATAAATGTGAACTGGAACCCAGTAGCAATAATTTTTTTTTTTACTTTTGTTATCTATCTTGTCTGTCTTTCTTTTGCTATTGTTAGTTGCCGGTAAGTGTATTTGGACTCATCACAACCCCATGTGTGCAGAGTAGAACTGCTCTCTAGGATTTTCAAGGCTGTGACCTTTTCGGAGCAGTTGATGGGATTTGATCCGCCAACCTTTTGTGTAATAGGCAAATGTTTACCCATTTGTACCACCCAGGGACTCATTCTCTTGTGTGTGTGTGTGTGTGTGTGTATATATATATATATATATATATATATTTGGTGTTGTGTGCCATGCAGTCAGTTCCGATTCATAGCGACCCTGTACAGGGTTTCTGAGGCTGTAAATCTTTATGGGAGCAGAAAGCCTCATCTTTCTCCCACGGAACAGCTGATAGTTTTGAACTGCTGACTTCACGGCTCGCAGACCGATTCATAACCACTATGCTACCAGAGCTTATATGTATGTGTGTGTGTGTGTGTGTATATATATATATATCCTTGAGGTTAGCAGTCCAGTAGACCTACAGTATCACACACACTGAGAAACCCTGGTGATACTATAGAACTATAGGACTACTGCACTGCTAACCTCAAGGCTAGCAGTTGAAACCCAGCAGCCTCTCTGTGGGACAAGGCTGAGACTGCCTGAAACACCCTCCCCAGGGGTTTTCAGCCTGAAACACCCTCCACAGGGCCTCTCTGAGTCGGGCGGCAGTGGGTTTGGTTTTGCCCTATGTAAATAGATATGTAAAACCAAAGCCAAATCCTTTGCTGTTGAGTTGATTGCACCTCACAGCAAACCTGTAGGGCAGAGGAGAACTGCCCTGTAGGGTTTCCAAAGCTGTATGTCTTTATAGAGCAGACTGCCACATTTGTCTCCCTTGGAGAGACTGGTGGGTTTTAGCAACTGACCTTCTTGTTGGCAGTTCAGTGCTCTAACTACTGTGCCACCAGGGCTCCAAATAGGAGGAAGGCTTCAGAAAGTTCCTGAAAAATTCCATCTACACATTTTTGAAGCCCCCACTTATGTGTGTACATGTGTGTATGAGGGGGCTTTAAAGAGATCATGGAAAACTAGAAAGAGATTATTATATATCTATATAGCTCCCTGGTAGTGTAGTAGGTTACGAGCTGAACTGCTTACCAAAAGATCAGTAGTCCGAATCTACCATTTGCTCTGAGGGAGAAAGATGAGGCTTTCTGCTCCTGTAAAGCTTTATAGCCTTGGAAATAGTATACAAGGTCACTATGAGTCAGAACCAACTTGGTGGCACACAACCAACCAAATTATGTGTATATGTACATACATATTTACACATATTGGCCGAAAGCAGAGACTGTCAGAAAGATGTTTACCTGTGCTTTATTGACTACGCAAAGACTTTCGATTGTGTGGATCATGGCAAGCTATGGACAATATTTCGAAGTATGAGTATTCCAGAATACTTAATTGTGCACATGAGGAATATGTACCTGGACCAAGAGCCAGTTGTTTGAACAGAACATGGAAACACTGAATGGTTTAAAATTAAGAAAGGTGTGCGACAGGGTTGTATTCGTTCACCATACTTATTCAATCTATATGCTGAACAAATAATCCGAGAACCTGGGTTATATGAAGAAAAACGTGGCATCAGGATTGGAGGAAGACTCTTTACCAACCTGCAATATGCAGATGATACAACCTTGCTTGCGGAAAGTAAAGAAGACTCAAAATATTTACTGATGAAGATCAAAGAGCACAGCCTTCGGTATGGATTACATCTCAATGTAAAGAAAACAAAAATCCTCACCATTGGACCAATAAACAACATTCTTATCAATGGAGAAAAGATTGAAGTTGTCAAGGACTTCATTCTTCTAAGATTAACTATCAACACTCATGGAAACAGCAGTCAAGAAATCAAACAACATATTGCATTAGGCAAATCTGCTGCACAAGACCTTTTTAAAGTGTTGAAGATCAAAGTTGTCAGCTTGAGGACTAAGGTGTGCCTGACCCAAACCATGGTATTTTCAGTAACCTCATATGCATGTGAAAGCTGGACAGTGAGTAAGGAAGACCACAGAGGAATTGATGCATTTGAGTTATGGTGTTGGAAGAGAATATTGAAAGTGCCATGGGCTGCTAAAAGAACCAACAGATCTGTGTTGGAAGAAGTGCAGCCAAAGTGTTCCTTAGACCCAGGATGGTCAAACTTTGTCTTTTATACTTTGGACATATTATCAGGAGGGACCAGTTGCTGGAGAAGGATATCATGTTTGGTAAGGTGGAAGATCAGAGAAAAAGAGGAAGACCCCCAGTGAGATGGATTGGCCATGTGGCAGCATCAATGGGCTCAAGCGTGGCAGTGTTTCGTTTGGCTGTGCATAAGATTTCTGTGAGTTGGCACTGACTCGATGGCACCTAACAACAGCAACATATATAAATATATAAAAATATATATGTATACATTGGAGTCCTGGTGTGGCATTGTGGGTTAATGCGCTGCACTGCAAGGTCGGTTTGAACTACAAGGTTGGCAGTTCAAGTTCACCAGCCACTCCTTGGAAACCCTGTACAGGGTTGCTATGTGTAAGAACCGACTCGATGGTATTTAACAACGTTGTTGTTATGGGCTGTGGAGTCGGTTCCAACTCATAGTGACCCTGTACAGGGTTTCCAAGGCTATAAATCTTTATAGCAGCAGAAAGCCTCATCTTTCTCCTGTGGAACAGCTGGTGGTTTCAAACTTCTGACCCTGAGATTAGCAGCCCGATTCGTAACCACTACGCTACCAGAGCTTCATATATATATATACAGTTGTATAGTCCTGACTGGTATGGGTTTCTGGACTGCAAGGTCCTTTTGAACTGCAAGGTTGGCAGTTTAAATTCAGTAGCCTTTCCTTGGGAACCCTGTACAGGGTCGCTATGAGTCAGAACCAACTTGACGTCACTTCTTGGTCCAGTCGTAAGAGTTTTTGTGTTCTTTATATTTAGTTGTGATCCATACTGAAGGCTGTGGTCATTGGTCTTCATCAGTAACTGCTTTAAGTCATCTTCACTTTCAGCAAGCAAGGTTGTGTCATCTGTATATTGTAGGTTGTTAATAAGCCTTCTTCCAATCCCGATGTTATCATCTTCTTTATATAGTCTAGTTTCTTGGATTATTTGCTCATCATACAGGTTGAATAATTAAGGTAAAAGGATACAACCTAGATGCACATCTTTCCTGATTTTAAACCATTCAGTATCTCCTTGTTTTGTTTGAACGACTGCTTCTTGTCTACGTTAAGTACATATACAGGTTCCACATGAGTGCAACTAAGTATTCTAGAATTGCCTGTCTTTGCAAGTGTTAGCTGTAATTTGTTATATAACATAATGAATGTAATTAAAGCTCACAATTTTACATGTAAAAATGGCAAAATTTTTATTACATATCTATGTTGTGGTTAAGTGCCGTTGAGTTTGTTTTGACCCATAGTGATTCTGTAAAGGATTTTCAAGGAGCAGCAGAGTAAGCACTGGACTGCTGACCGTTAGGTCAGTGGTTCATACCCTTGGAGGAAGGCTCACTCACAATCTGCAATGTGGAGTTGACACAACCTTGCTTGCTGAAAGCAAAGAGGACTTGAAGCACTTAACTGATGAAGATCTGAGACCTTCAGCCTTCAGTATGGGTTGCAACTCAATGTAAAAAACCCCAAAATCTTCACAACTAGGCCAATAATATCACAATAATGTAGAAAAAATTGAAGTTGTCAAGGATTTCATTTTATTTGGATCCACAATAATAAACACTCATGGAAGTAGCAGGTAAGAAATCAAGTGATGTATTGCACTGGGCAAATCTGCAAAAGATCTCTTTAAAGTGTTAAAGAGCAAAGATGTCACTTTAAAGACTAAGGTGCAGCTGATTCAAGTCATGGTATTTTTAGTCACCTCAAATGTGTATGGAATCTGGGCAATGAATAAGGAAAACCAAAGAAGAATTGATGCATTTGAATTATGGAGTTGGTGAAGAATACTGAAAACACCTTGGGTTGCCAGAAGAATGAACAACTCTGTCTTGACAGAAGTACACCCACAATACTCCTTAGAAGCAAAAATGACTTGACTTGGACTCATGTACTTGAACATGTTTATCACTAGGAACCCTGATGAAGGACATCATGTTTGGTAAAGTAGAAAGTCAGCAAGAAAGAGGAAAACCCGCAGCGCCATATATTGACACAGTGGACTCAGACATCACAACATTTGTGAGGATGGTGCAGGACGACCAGACAGTGTTTTGCCCGATTATACATAGAGTCTCTATGTATCACTATTTGGAACCAACTTGATGGCCCCTAACAACAACAGCGTGTTATGTAAGCATTACCACAGTCTATTTTCAAAAAGATTTTTATCACCCCGACAGAACTCTGTCACCGTTTACCCTCTCCTCAGTCCCTGGTGATCATTAATAACTCTTGTCTCTGTGCATTTTCATATTATAGATATTACATATGAATGAGGTCGTATAATATTTTCCTTTTGTGTCTGACATATTTCACTTAGTATGTTTGTAAAGTTCATCCATTTTAGCATAAAGAAACACTTCATTTTTCTTGATGGCTGAATAGTAATCACTGTTTGTATGCACCACGTTTTGTTTATTCATCTGAACAGTTGGGTTGTTTTGACGTTTTGGCTGTTGTGAATAACGCTGCAGTAAATATTGGTATATACGTACCTATGTGAGTCTCTGATTTCAAGTTTTTGGGTATGTATTAAGTGGACAATGACCATGGAGTAGAATTGCTAGGTCATACGGTAATTCTACCAGAGAGCTCTGGTAGCGTAGTGGTTACGAATTGGACTGCGAATTGCAAGGTCAGCAGTTCGAAACTACCAGCAGTTCCACGGGATAAAAATGAGGCTTTCTGCTCCCATAAAGATTTACAGCCTCGGAAATCCTATGCAGGGTCGCTATGAGTCAGAACTGACTCCACGGCACATAACAACAACAAGGTAATTCTGGTGTGGTGCTGTGGGTTAATGCGCCAGACTTCGAAGCCTTTTGAACTGTAAGGTTGGTGGTTCAAACTCACCAGTCACTCCTCAGAAACCCTATACAGAGTTGCTATGGGTTGGAACTAACTCATCAGCACTTAACAACTACAACAATGAGAATTCTTTAACTTTTTGAGGAACCACCCAACTGTTTAGCACATACTTTACTTCAGGCATCTGGTTTTAATGTGGTCACCCTGCTCCCAGGTGGCAGTTACTTGCATGGAATATATTTTTTTCATCCTTTCACCTTCAACCTACAAGTACCTTTGAATCTAAAGTCTTTTGCAGACAGCACATAGTTGGATCATATCCATTCTGCCAATCTTGACTTTGGATTATATAGTTTAATGATTGCTGATAAGGTACTTCTGTCATTTTGCTATTTATTTTGTGTGTCTTAATCTTTTTTGTCCCTTATGTCTTCCTATACTGCCTACTTTTGTGTATAGTTGATTTTTTTGTTGTGTAGTATTTTGATTCCCTCGTTTCCTTTTATGTATATATTCAAATTTTTTTGTTGGTTACTTTGGAGATTAAGGAACCCTGGTAGCTAGTAGTGCTAGTAACCACAGCGTCAGTAGTTCGAATATACTAGTCACTCCACAGGAGCGAGATAAGGCTTTCTGCTCCCATAGAGATTTACAGCCTCAGAAACCCTGTATAGGGTCACTGGGAGTTAAAACTAGCTTGGTAGCATACAACCACCACTTCTAGGAAGATTGCATTTAACATCTTAAATGTATTACAATCTAGTTTAAATTGTTCATAAATTCAATAACATACAAAAAAACCTTGTTCTATGTTGCTCTCCCCAATCCCCTGATACCGTAAACACAGATTACATCTTCATACTTTAGATTCCCTATAACACATTCCTAATCAATTTTTATGCATTTGCCTTTTAAATCACATAGGACATAACAAGTGGAAATACAAACCAAAAATACCATTAAACTGGCCTTTATATTTACCCATGGAATTACATTTACTGAGAATTTTACTGTCTTTGCATGACTTTGAGTTTAGTGCTTTTTTAATCAGTTCAACCTAAAGAATGAACGCCAGCATTTTCGTAGGGCAGTTCTCATCACCTTTTGTTTTATCTGGAAATGTCTTAATGGTTCCCTCATTTTCAAAGGACAGTTTGACTAGATAGATACTTTTGGGCTGAGAGTTATTTTCTTTTGGCATTTTAGATAAGTCATCCCACAGCTTTCTGACCTCCATGGTTTCTGAGGAGAAATCAGTATTTATTCTTATTGAGGCTCTCTTGATTTTCTTCTGCTCCTTTCAAAATTCTGTCACCCATGCTGTAATAAACGTTTATAAATGCCTTACTCCATTTGCACAAGGGTTTCTCTAGGGTACGTACCTAGGTATATATAGACTTGCTAGGTATATGTGTCTTTGACTTTATTAGATACTGTGAAATTACTCTCGTAAGTAGTTGTACTGGTTTATACGCCGTTGGTATTGGCTGATACCCTTAATTCATAGTCTGAACTGGGCTTTAACCTTCCTAGATCCATAGGGAGAGGGGAGGAGAGTAAGACAAGCTAGATGTTATGCCATTAACCATGGATTCACCCTGAGTTTCATTTTGCCTTTATAGATCTTGGAGAAATTCATTCAAGGCTTTTAGATCACAGACCAGTTATTCAAGGTGAAACCCGCTATTTTGTCAAAGAATTTGAAGTGAGTATTTAAAATTTATTTTGTAAAAACAATATAATTGGTTTAATTGTTAGAATGTTAATTTATGGAAAAATTGCTGAATTTTAAAATCACTTAATTTCAGTTCTATGTCTGTGAAATATATAAAGTGAAACTTATAAAGAGGCATCATCTTTTAATGGAGTTGCTAGGCAGCAGGAGGCTTGGGTTCAGGTTGTAGCACCTACTATAGGACAGCCAGTGTCTGCTGATCAGTTGTTTTCCTGTTTAAAACTAGATGTAGTGAGGTACACAGATTTCAGAAACTGATGGGTCTGCATTTTCAAGACCTACTTTTATTATAGGTGCCCTGGTGGTACTGTAGGATAAGCCTAGACTGTTAACTACAAGGTTGATAGTTCAAATCCATCAGCTGTTCTGCAGGAGAAAGATGATGTTTTCTACTTGTATGAAGGTTTATAGGCTCAGAAACCCTATATAAGGTCGCTATTAGTCAGAATCAACTGATGAAGTGGGTTTTGGTATATTTGTGTGTGTGTGTTTTCTCAGTTGGAGAAATAGCAGCTATCCGCCCAGTTAGAAGTTGAGAATCATGCTTGGCCATTCCCACCCCATGAGGGTCCAAATTCAGTGACCGAGACTTCTCGATGTCACCTCCCCAACCTTCCTGTCCCTGCTGACTGGTGACTCTGCTTTATCATCTAGGCACATCCAGTTTCCACCCTGCTGCCAGAGTGCTCTGACACACTGTTTCTCTTTTAAAAACCCTTTGATAACATTTATGGTCTGCAGAGGAGTCAGTCCTGGTGTGGTGCTGTGGGTTAATGCACCAGACTGAAAAGCCATTTGAACTACAAGGTCAGCAGTTCAAGCTTACCAGCTGCTCCTTGGAAACCCTATACAGGGTCGCTATGGGTCGAAATCGACTCGACTGCACTCAACAACAACAAATGGTCTTCAGAATGAAGTCCAAGAGTAAAGACCTGACCTTCCTAGTGTCATCTCCGTGTGTGCTATGTTCCAGCAGTACTGATTCACCAGAATGCCATCTTGGTTCATATTATCATGGTTCACTGTGCATTAAACAATAGCATTCCAAGCAAATGCTATTGGATGGTTGCCAAAGGGCCAATAGTGTGATGCAAACAACTTTGTTATTGTGTGTAAATGGAGATTCTAATTTCAGATGAGACTGCCATCTAGCTGGAAGCCTAAACTGGCCAAAAGGAAGAACCTTTTAATAAACCCTTTAAAACTGCAGAAAGGCTATATGGCTGCAGAGCACTCGTGCTACCCCAGGTAGAGCTGGCCTCTCTAGGCTTTTAATGGCTGATATTTTGAAAGTAGATCACTTGGCATTTCTTCTGTGGCACCTCTGAAAGCACTCCAGCTTCCAACCTTCTGGAAAGACCATGAGTCAGAATTGATAGGAAGTAGTTAAAAAACACAAAACAAACCAAAAAACCAGAATATTCAAGACAATCGAGGGACAGAGCTGGAGCATTAGACTATTTCTGGGCTTAACGGACTCCATTACTCAGAACTGCATAATGTACCTCATAGGTTCTGAAGATTTAGAAAGTGTGTATTTGTGTGTTTCTTGTGATATTGTCTGGTTTCTAAGAGTAACTGTTAGCTTTTATCACCATCATTATTATTTTGGAATAAGAGTAAAGTGAGGGACACACACAAAATTATTCATTATCCCACTCTCCCTTACCGTGCCATATAGAGTGAGTGTTATTGTTGTTACATGCCATCAAGTTCATTCTGACCCATAGCGACCCTGTATAGGGTTTCCAAGGAGTAGCTGGTGAGCTTGAACCACCAACCTTGCAGTTCAAACGACTTTACAGTCTGGCGCATTAGGGAGTGTAGGAGAAGTTTATATACAGACTTACTGTGCATTTACAGTGTGTTGTATAAATATTTTCTAAAACTGCTTCAAATGTTCTGTATAGAGAGTGTGTGTTTAGTCATCAACAAATCATCTGGTCGTCTTCATAAAGGTCTGAGTTAGAGAACTCTACTGGTGTTAGAGGTGAAAGTCAGCATTGACAACAATTTACCTGATTTTTGGGGTCCAGGTTGTGGTGTGCAGAGCAGATAAGAGCCCTCTTTTCAGCTTTAGTGATGCCGTCCTGGTGTGGCTCTGTGGTCTAATGCGTCAGACTGCAAAGTCGTTTGAACTGCAAGGTCAGTGGTTCAAGCTCACCAGTTGTTCCTTGGAAACCCTATACAGGGTCGCTATGGGTTGGAATTGACTTGATGGCACTTAACAACACAACAACTTTTGTGCCTAAATAAAAGTTAGTCCTCCATTTTTCCTTATAAAAATATTTTAATTTTATTATTGAATTTAATTCTATAGGGTAACTTCAAAAAGTTTATGGAAAAATGGAATCTTTGCCTGCTGTTTGTCATGGAACTTTTCCCTGAACTTTTTGAAGCCTCCCTTATACAATTTATTTTCATATAACTTAAATCATATGTATTTATTGAATCTCATATAATTTCTGTCACTCTATAAAATAATAATGTGTTAATTTAGAAATAATACTTTTTTCTTTCTACATTTCATAAAATAATTATAAACTCTTCTCACATATTTTTACATTATCTTTATGGCTAGGATAACTTTGAATCATCAGATTTTTGTAGACCCATATTCTCTTAGGCTATTGAGGTATAATACTTTGGGATTTATGTATAATGCTGTTACTGGTAAACTTTCTCAAGTCATAAGCACATTTTTGTATAGTAGCATTGGGATAGTTTGTTTTCATATATCATAAACATGACTGTCTGTGGTTTATACAATATCATGTATATAATGTTTTTTGAAAAAGCAATTTGTAAGAGGTATGTGTACAACATCTTTGCAATTGAGAGGTCATGTGTCTAGGAATAATTATTGAATCTCTATTAATTTCTTAACTTTTTTTTCCTTCTAAATTTTACTGACTTTGTTGTTGAGACAATGCATTTCAGCAGTTTCTACATGTACATGTACCATTTAGTGACACTGATTGTGTTTGTTGAGTTACGCAGCCATTCTCACCTTCATTTTCTGAGTTGTTCCTCCTTTAGGAGCATAAACTCACTGCCTCCTAAGGTTCCTATCTAACCTTTTGAGTTTCTGCTGTCATTCTGATCCCATGTAGATAGATTGGGAAGACAGCATAAATGCCCAAGGCTGACCTTTTTTCCTAGTTAATTAAGTCAAACTGTTGTTTGGTTTTGAAATGCCATCAGGGGATATTTTTGGTTTAAGGTTTAAAGGATTCTCTCAGGGCAGTAGTTTCAGGGTTTCATCCACCTTCCATGACGCCACGAAGTCTAGAGTCTATGAGAATGAAATTCTCTTCTGCTTTTTCTGCCTTCTGATCAGGATCCTCCTATGGAATCTTGGTCAAAATGTTCCATAATTGTAACTGGGTACTACCTACTTCTGGTCTCATAGTACCGGAGGCTGTTATTCATAGAGGCAGTTAGCTACACATTACATTTTCTCTCACTATTCCTACTACTCTTCTTCCTCTGCTGCCCCAGATAAATAGAGACTAGTTATTATGCCTTGGATGCCTTGCTAGCTAGCTTTTAAGACCCCAAACATGTTGCAGTGAACTAGGAGTTAGACTGAAAGTATTAAACATGTTATTATTAGGCCAATTAACTGGGATGTTCCATGAAACCATGACCTCTAAACCAAAGAACAAATTCCATGAGGTGTTTGGTTTTATGTAAGCAGCCTGAATAGCGAATCACTGTTGTACATTTATCTGCCATACAACTGTTGGTTTTTACAGGTCAGGTGTACAACTTACGGACAGCAATCACAGTAATCGACTGTACAACCATACCCTTAATCAGTACAACGTTTGCATCACTCTTAGCTATTTTTTGAAATATGAGCCAGTGGATGACCTTTTGTTTTTCAGTTGCTGTTGAGTAGATGTCAGCTCATGGAGATCCATGTGTTAGAGGTTAGAACAGCTCTGTACGATTTTCTTGACTATCTTCTAATAGAAGTCGATCTTCAGGCATTACCTTTAGGTTATCAGCTGAGTGCAAACGATTTGTGCCGCCTAGGGACCTTGGATCACCTCTTTAAGAGTTGGTTCTGACTCATAGGTGACCCTGTATAGGATTTCCAGGAAGTGGCTGATGAGTTTAAACTGCTGAGCTTGAGGTTCTGGCTTCCATCTCTTCACTTCTCCTTTGCCCTTTCAGTGTATTGCCGTATTGCCCATTTCTGATATTTTATTAATCGTCTGGACCCGTTTTTTCAGGTTTTGAATTGTTTCCAATGCTATACCTATCTTGTTTGATTGCTTCTGTAGCACCTTCCTGACTTCTCCGTATTTTCCTCAACCCCTCTGTGGAGCCTTTGGATTTGTCTCCATATCATTCTTCTGAATTCCTTCTCAGGCAGATCCAAAGCCAGCTCATTTGTCTCGGTTACTCTTTTCTGTTTTTGGACATGTGCTGAGATCTTTTGTTGCATTTTTTAGACATTTTCAGTAGTTAGGTGCATTTTCAATGATTAAATGAATGTGTGTTGCTGTGTTGTTAAGCTTACTGAGTGTCTCCTGGTGGATGTGATCTGGAGATAGGCTTCCCTTTTCACATCTCTTACTACTCACCTGCAGGCTATCTTAGCAAGTGTTGACTCTCTGTGTAATGCATGGCAGCTGGTACTGGCTCCTGTCTGCATGGTGGAATATTATGGGGTATGCTTATAGCTTGGATATATGGCCACAATTGCTGTCTTTTCTTGGGTAACACAGGGAGAGAAATCTCCCACTCCCAGGAAAAAAGTGAGACCAAAAGACCCAAAGGAGAAGCAGTGTAAAAGCAGAGAGAAAACCCGTAAAACCGTAGCCGACTGCCCAGTAGCCTTTTCTGCTCAGGTCAGTGTGTGTGTACAGCAGACTCCTACAGTGGTGGGTGGGAGTGTCCACTCGCTCAGGCCCCTCCTCTGGTCACCACTGTGGAGGTGCGCAGATAGATATTGAGAA